TTTCTTCTTTCGTTCTGCCGGGTAAAATCAATTAATTTAGGCGACGTTTGTAGACTAACCTACACGTACCAACGTCCGCATGTCGCGCTAGCCTTATCCTACTGTAGGCCTAGACTAGCTAGGATGGTATAGGCCTAGCCTTGAAGGGACGAAGGTCCCAATGAAAAACAACGTCGTTCCTTGATAGCTAACATTGTCTGTTTAACAACACAATAATTCATTATTAGACCTATAGTTGTTTTTTGAATTGTACTCAGCCGATACCTCGCGCAACTCGTTAACGTCTCGTATCTATTGTCGTGACGTCATGGCTCGCTGGCTCACACTACTTCTGATGTCTCGCACTTCAAGTAACACGTTGGCTCGCACTTTGGCAACACTTTTTGGCAGTCAACTCGCCCCTAGAAAACCCGCCCTTGGAAACCATAAAAAAATGTACACTTCCTAGACCATACAGTCTTCAAAATAAAAATTGTAACCTTTGGTAATCAACTACATTTTCCACATACATAGAAATTTTTGAAACTTTATTAAAAAAAAACCTAAACCATAATTCACCACTATAAACATTTTTTAACAAAAATGAAAAATTACGACTTTGTTACTCAATGAGAAGTGTTCTAATATAGACAATGGGTCGTGTTTCATATTATTTGTTATATTTTTATTATTCATTATTTTCACTTGACTCACATAAATAATTTTGTTCGAAGAACATTTATATGCAGTTGTACTTCGCAGCACTTCACTTGCAATTTGCAATTTCTAGTATTAATATTATTACCGTCCTTATCATTATTAACTTTCAACCAAAGGGTCCTCTGTTAAATCTGGCTAAAAATGCTACAAGCCTCATTAAGTTTTAGGGTCAAAGGTCAATGGTCCGAAATGTTCAGCTTTGCTGGATGCATCACCTATGTTACATACACAAAGTGTCGAAACAACTTTTATTTTTATTTTATTTTTTATTTTATTTCAATTACATCCAACAGCGGAATTGCCCATTACAGGATGTCTTGAACATACAATATATAAAATATAGTAAAATACAATTTTCCATTATTACTTTATTTCACTCCAAAACACATGATTAAAAGTAATGTAGTTTTAAATATCACTTTGTTCTAACATACATAATCTCTTTGTCTCAGATATTCCTTATGTTAAGTTACTCAAAAATATCCTCTAATATTTTCTATATTACCTTAAAAATGAGAAAAGTGTACAATGTTTTTAATTTATATTAATTTTATGTCTATAAATCATATAAAGGATAGGGAAAGGTTTGGTTCAAGCTATTACCCATATGTATCCAGGCAAACTACTTTGTAATGCCAACTATCATTGTCCAATTAATATTATTATTTAATGCCCTTTAAAGACTATCAAATGTTTTTGACAAAAGCATGTGACATGCCTAAACATGGTCATGCCGACATCACATCATGACCATATATAGGCACACCATGACCATATATAGGCACACCATGACCATATATAGGCACACCATGACCATATATAGGCACATCATGACCATATATAAGTACATCATGACCATATATAGGCACATCATGACCATATATAGGCACATCACGACCATATCTAGGCACATCATGACTACATTTGGACACAATAGTTTTGGTCAAATGAAATTTGATAGTCTGGATAGGGCTTTAGCCAACAAAAATTATTTGTTTAAATTAATTAAATAGAAAAGACAATTAATTAAATTAATTAATTTAAAAATGTAATCTAATTTTTTTTTTTTGTGGTTCAGCAGTAAGGTGGTGGACTTTCAACTGAAAGTTCATAGATTTGAATCAATGGAGATGTCCTTTAGGCAATTTGGTCAGCACTAAATTATATGCATGACTTGTGTTGGTCATTTGTGTGTAATTGATTCTGTATCCAATGACCAGTGTGACTTTCACTTGGAGACTTTAATTTAATGACAGTGATTAAAAATCCCACTTATTCTCATCCAAATCTCCACAACTATTATAATACTACTACTACATTAAATTAAGTAAATTGTGTTTAAATAATCCAATATTCAAATTAGTCTAATTATTAAGACTTAAAGGAGATATATTTTAAGAGTGCAATATGCAATTTCTAGTAACACATGAAAATAAATTATAATAATTCCACAATCATCAGTCTGTACAAATGAATGCAATATCAATATTGATTTTTTTCTTATTATTTATAAATGAAAAAAAAAAATTAAAATTATTATCAGAAATATCATTCAAAGAGTGTAATTTGCTATTCATAGGATTCACTGTATTGTGGACAGCTTCATCAGGAAACTAATTTTGACAATGATAGTCATATATTATGTGTCAACAACAAGCATCAACATCCATTCTGCTATTATTCTAATTATTGATTTTTATTATCTACATACTAAATGTCTCATATATACTGTAATAATTAATTTCATTGGTCGACCACTTGCCTAATTCACAGAAAGGAAAAAAATTAGCCAATCAAAAACTGGCTTTTACCTTCATCAAGAAAATCCTCATCATCGTCATCTTTCCTTAGTTTCTTTTGTTCCGATTCAATGCGTATCCTTCCGACGACACCAATCACCGCCCCACTCTCCTTCCGCTCAATCTCCTCAAGTCTGGAGCCAATTGCCTATCACAAGTAAAATTAAGTCATAAATATACGACATCTGCTAATTTATTTTATCTCATTCACTTATTTTAATACAGTAAAGATTTGAAATTATACATATAATAATAATTGGTCGACTTACAGTATAGAGTGTATAGTAGGGAGACGCATGATGATGTCACTAAAAGTCATATGCGCATTCAAGAACGTCTCCTTGTAGCATGAATTCTAGGACGCAATTTGGCCAAATCTACGTATGCATAGAACATAGGACGGCCGGTAGGGCGGTCATGCATGAGTGATTACCTTCTAGCATCGCGTCATCGAACAAATCGAAAGCTCCCTATCTTGGAGACTTACGATGCACTTAAAATACAAGTGAAAACAAAAACTCCAACTCCAAGGTATAAGATGCAAGATTTGAATAAAAAAGATTGCCTCTCAATAGCCCTTATAGGCAGCCCAACACCTGTGTGAAAAGGGCCAAAACACAGGACATACAAAACGGACATAAACCCCCACTCTAGACTTACCTCACCCCACAAGTAAAACATCTTGGCTGTTGTTCTCTGTACTGTACTCGCAGCAGTGCGCCTAGATCCACCGAGCGACCGACCAGTGAAGGCACAGCTCTGAGCCCTGGGCCGGCTCACTTTGACACCCTTCACCCACTCTGGCCACTCGCCTTTGTTGCATGCATGGACAAAGCGACAGCACTCTAGAAATAAGGCAGCTCGGGCGACTACAGGGGCATTCTAAAAATAGTAATAAACTGTTAATATTTTCCTTTAATTCAATTACATGAATAAATTGCATTATTCATATAATGGTGTTTAAAATTTTGTGGGAGTGATTAGGTTGTGGTTCCATGTCTAAATGATAAAACTGGTTGTTTAAATCTTGTAAATTCTATGCTGCATATTATGCATTTTTTTTTAATTTAATTCTTTTTTTTTCTTTAATTTAATTCTTTTACTTCAATTAAATTACATAAAATTATAAATAGGGGCCTATAATAAATTACATTATTCACACAATAGTGATTAAACTTTGTGAAAGTGCTTAATTCTTTTACTTCAATTAAATTACATAAAATTATAAATAGGGGCCTATAATAAATTACATTATTCACACAATAGTGATTAAACTTTGTGAAAGTGCCTTTACAAAGGTTGTGGTTCCACGTCTCAGTGTTAAAACTAGGTGTTCAAATCATACAAATTCTATGCTGTATATTTTGAGTTCTCATTTTTTTTTAATTGATCTTTAATTATAACATATGTTGTTTAACATCACTCTATATCATTACATTTCATTGTCTTTTTTATTTTTCTCTTTTTGATTATACATTGAATTTAATTTATTTTATTCTATTTATTCCTGGCGCAAACAATAAAAACATACAGTAACATGAAAACATGAAACACTAGAAACATGAAACACTAGAAACATGAAATATAAAATTCAGTAACATCAAAACAGGGCCTGATGATGTCTTTAAAAGCAAAATTGTATGCAACATCATAAATTTCATAACTTGTGCTTGGTTTATTTGCTGAAATACACTGATGTACATGACACTAAAACCTACTTTTTACTTGGAATACCCCCCACCCCCTACCGCCCCATTCAGTGGGGAAGATTCCACACTGTACATGTTTGGGGTATTGGAAATGACACATAACTGAACATCATTATTAATCGTTATTTAATAATAATCAATTATGCTTCACCAGATCAAGAGCGGCAGCAAGGAATTCTGGGTCGGGTACTGATCCTGGGTAGCAACAACCCATTAGGAAAGCTAGCCTCTTCATTCCAGAAGTTATCACAGTCTTGTCAACAGGCTTGCGTTCTTTTTCTACAGTAGTATCCCCTGGATCCGAGTTCTCATCTACAGATTTTGGTGTATCACAACCTAGTGCAGAGGTCAATTTTAAATGATTATTATTTAACATAAAATTATTAGATGCAGAGTGAAGAGAGATTACTATTTCTTGCTATTTTCCATAGAATTATCCCTTCTATCACTGTCCCTTTAAACCTAAACTACAACTGTCTCTTTAAATCCACCCATCCCAATGCCATGTCCATTCCAAAAAAAAAAAACTGTTTCTCCAATCACCATCTTTATCTAAACTGTCTCTACAACCTAACCCCTCCCAATCCTTATACTTCCTTTCCTTATCCCTGTCCCTCTCTTCCCCACCTCCCTTCCAACCCCTGTCTCTTTATATTCAATGAGATAAGATCCAACAAAATACATATTGAGGCTTGTTTATACATGCAACGATAACGATAACAATAAAAAGCTAAAAAGCAATTGTTCATGTGGAAAATAAAAGAAATAACAGAAGTTTTACACTAGGATGATTCGGTAACGATTTATCGTGTATACGATAACAAACTACGATAAAATCATTAGTAACAATTTTATCATTTTTCGATGCTGACGTCATTTGAATTGATCTGTCAAACTATTTTATTATTGCATACACGATAAAACGTTTATCGAATCGTCCTAGTGTAAAAACTTCAAATATTTCTTTTACTTTCTTTATGAACAATTGCTTTTTAGCTTTTTATCGTTATCGTTATCATTGAAAGTATAAACAGGCCTTTAATCATAAAGCTCACCATCTTCTCCTTTGCCATCATCCTTTTTCTTGTTTTTGCGAAATTTATGGAAAAATGGATGTTCATCTTTTTTGTTCTTGTTGAATTCAAACTTTGACCCCTCCTGTAAAGACAAAAATAACCAACATGTGAATGTTAAAAGTTATATGCCTTATTAATGACATTTCATTCACACGCTATCAACGAGTTTCAGCATTCTCAATTTCTATTACAGTAATTTTATTTGGTTACTGTTTTGGTAGAATCAGTAGGTAAATGTAAATATTGGTGGGCGGGACAGAATCAGTTTTCATTAATTTACATTTAAATGCAAGTTGATTCTTTGTTTTATTAAATGGATAATAATAAATATTATTCTATATACTATACTATACACTACGAACATCCAAATTTGTTGGCAAAATTTTTAAGGGTATATGGAAAGACTATAAGATGGGTCTTAATTAACATACATAAATTGAAGGGGAACATTTCTTTAAATTGTGTTTACAAATGCATATATGTCTGTTGGATTTTTTGTGACAATATATAAAATAATTAAGATATTAAAAATATATCTTACATATCAAGCCATGCCTACTAGACCATGTGACTGACGAAACAAGGATAAGCTCAGAAATCACTGAAGATTGTCAATTATAATTTGCAAGGGAAGGTTAATTGCCTGATTTTTACAACACAATATGTGCTACACATCAATAAAGCCACTGCTTAAACACGTGGCACATAAGTACACTAAAGAGTATATTCTTGACCATGATATAATAAGCTAACACATTGTGCGTTCAAATTAACAATCAATGTCTATCAATTTGAAAGCTGTTGGCACAACTCTCAGGCTCTCAATTAATAGGTCAGAGGGTGCTGGATGCAAATTCTCATTAGCGTTGATAATTACTGCGAGTCAATTCATACCTTTCTGCTTCTCTCCTCCAAGCCATCATGATCTTCTGTACTTAGATGCGTTCTCTTCTTCCATGTTGTTACCACTTGAGCTGAGAAGTCACATAATTAGTAAAATAATTGGTCTTAAAGTGTGAAAGAATTTATAAAATCATGAATTATATATATACATATGAATATAATAAAATACAAAAATATATAAACCAATAATTTACCATTTAAACATAGAGAAATATGAAATCTTGTATTTTAAACTACAATGTAAATATATATATTCTTCTATTCCTTTTTATGTCTTTCTCATACAACAGCAAAGTACACATGAAAATTAAGCCTGGCATACACTGTGTGGTAAGACGGACGTAAAAAGGTCATACAGGCTCTTTGAACAGCTGACGAAGCGATGCCGTCAACGCGCCCCTCATCGCATCGCGTTCTCTATGGAATTACATCAGCAGCGTGTGCAGGCTTTAAAGAATGGACTGTGACTCTATAAACTAAAGTCCTGTTCATATTGGATTAATTTTGACCACGATGAAGTGAAACTTCACCTTGGCTAAATTTTCATTTCTAATCACACTTGGATTTACCAAGGCCCTAACTAAAAACTTTTGGAGACTTCGATCATGTACTTTTGCTTATGGAAAACAGGCTCGTGGTTCTTCTTCTGGCGGGATTTGCTTGGGCAAACTTACTCTGCCACTTGGATAATTAAAAGAGAATGTTACACAGTCTTTCTCACTAGATTTTTACAAGGTAAATCTGGCTGAAAGGAGTCCAACAAAAAAAGAACATATGGGTGTACTTTAAATAGGGATGTCCAAAAGTAGCAGTTCTACTGTGTAAGATACAACTAAGATAATATGATAATAATCACTTTTAAATATAAAGTAACTATCAAACTCTAAATTCATCAATGTGTGTTTAAATAATTATTAAAATTATCATGTTTAAATAATTGAAAACAATGCAGCTCTTTGATTATAAGAGGATCTACAGCAAATAAACAAAACCACAAAAACACTATGAAGTATATAAAACATGATAGCATGTATTTCAATATTTGGGAGTATATATTATACTTGCTATAAAGGTATATTGTTAAAAACTTTAACTTATTATTTATAATATATATTATATATAAAGTTTAGTTTTGGCCTTTTGGCTTGTCTACTTGTTTAGGCTGTTTATTCTAATCTCACCTAGCCTATTGTTTCAAATCATGCTTGCATGTAATTCTCACTTTATACTATCTGGCTTTTTCAACCCTGACTCCCTCGTCACTGAGGAAGGACTAGTGTTGTCCGAAAGCTCTGGTTCTATTTCTGGCCGTTGACTTACGTTTACTTTTTAGCTGTTGCTTATCATTTTTGTATCTCTAC